AGGTCATTGCACAGGTACGGCTCTTGTTGCTGGCTGGGTTGGAGTTGCTGGCAAGGCTCACAGGCCTCAACCGTGCTCTTAATATCGGCGTCAATACCAGGCCAGAAGACGGTCTGACGGGCTCTGCGCCTGGTGGCTTCAACGCCGCGGTGGCTGTCATGGAGGCGGGATAAGGTGCGCCGGCGGAGGGCAGCGGGAACGACGATCCTGGGGCCGTACAACACCAGCTCTCCGTCCGCATAGAGGCTATCCCTTAGCTTCCAGAAGGGGAGGGCGGAGGCGTGAATGTCGTAGCGGTTGGTGGGGAATCCAGCGGAGACGTAGTCGAGGAGTTGGACGTATGCCGGGTCTTGAGCGGCGGCGATGCGAAGCTCCTGGAGAGTCCTATCGTCTTCGATGGAGGGCGTCGTCGTCGTCTTGTCAGCAAGAGAAGTGGCTGTGTGTGTCACTAAAGACCGAACGTGAGCAGCGGCCGTGGTACAGTCGACTTCATCTTCAGGTGTGGGGCGACTAACAGGGGCTCGGGAGAGGGCGTCTGGTATGCACAGAAGCTTCCCGGCGCGCCACACAGCTGTAAAGACGTAAGGGGCGGTCTTCTCTTTGAGACGTTGGAGGCGAGGATTTTCGATGGCGTCCAACGTGTAGTGATTAAGAATGGGTATGAGCGGGCGATGGTCCGTCATGAGGGTGAAATGCCCAAGGCCGAACAGGTAAAGGCGGCACTTGGCCATAGCCCAGGCGACTGCCAGCATCTCTAGTTCAATGGTGGCGTATCTGGTCTCCGTGTCCGTCAAAAACCTGGAGCCACACTGAACTAAGCACAGTCTACCCTGGCCGTGGTCTTGAAGGAGGGCATATCCGAGGCCGTATAGACGGGAGGCGTCGGTCTGGAGGACCACTGGTAAGGACGGGTCGAAGGGTGCCAGGACTGGTGGTGACAGCAACGCCTTCTTAACATTCCTGAACGCTAGGTCGTGGTCAGGAGTCCAGAGGAAAGAGCGCTTGGGGCTCATGAGGGGGCGTAGAGGTTGGGCTGATGTGGCGATTTTAGGGGAGAAGTCGGCCAGCTGATTTACCAGGCCCATAAATGAGCGAAGGTCGGTCAGGTTCGCTGGAGTAGGGAAGTCCCTGATGGCCTTGACCTTCTCCTCATCAGCTGAGATCCCCTCTGGCGAGATGTTGTAGCCGCAGTAGTTAACTTGGGGGGCGGCGACCACAAATTTATCTTTGTTCAGGGTGATACCATGGGCACGACATCTTGTGAGCATCAGATGAACTCGGTTCAAGTGGGCCGGGAGATCATCGTCGAAGAGCAGGATGTCATCTACGACCTTCACGCAGTTGGTGACACCCTGCAGAGCCATATCCCCACGGAGGCAGTACGCATCCCCCGTTGCTGCGAAGCCCATGGGTCCGCGGCAGTGTTGGAAGCGGCCGTAGGGCGTGATGAATGTAGTGAGGTGGCGATCTTCTTCCGCCAGGTCGACTTGCCAGTACCCATGTAGTGCATCCGCCGTGGTAAAGAACTTTGCAGACGGGGTGACGCTGCGGACTGCTTGGATGGGCGTAGGCGATGGATGGGCGGGACGGGAGACCTGCGAGTTGAGATGGGTGAGGTCCACTGTGATGCGAACACCTACAGGCTTGGGTGCCAAGACCATAGGGTGGCACCACTCGGAGGGCTCCTCGCCAGCGTGTCTGATGATCCCCTGCTGCACCAGAGAATCGAGCTCTGCCTTCACCTTGTCCCGTATGGCAAAGGGGATAGGCCTGGGTGTGTGGATGGCGAAAGGCGTCGCGCCAGGCTTGAGGTGGATTCTCATCGGGGGGCCTGTCATCTTCTTGAGCGGCGTCTTCTGGAGGTCGGGCTTGGAGACAAGGACGTCGCTGAACTGACGAAAAAAGAACTCCCGGGCGGCAGCAGGTGTGGTCATGGCTGAAACAGGTATCTCTGCACACCTGTTGAGGTGTGTCACAGCGAGGATGGGCTTTGGGAACTCGGATGAGACGATGGCCAAGTCCTGACAATGGCCACATGACAAGAGAGGGGTTTGGATGCCCTCATGGACGTGGACTGTGGCAAGGCAAGACTTGGGACCGAGCTGTAGTGTTGCCTTGAAGCAACCCAAAGGTGGAGACATCGGGGACCCGTCCGCTGTGAGCACGTCGTTCATGGCTGTGGGTGACAGGCTACTCCTGGGGATGTTGAGGGCGTCCAGGTGTGTTGGTCCAATCACCGTGATGTCCGCGCCCGTGTCAGGTATCATCAGGAGGTTGGAAGAGTTGGTACCGTAGGACAGACGAACATTGACGGGCTTGGGGGACCTGTCACTCGAGGTATCATCCACGCGTCGGCATCCTTTGTCGTTCTTGGGAGACGGTGGTGTGGACGTTCTGTCGGGCTGTGAAGAGACGTTTTGACCTGGAGATGGAGGCTTCTTGGTGGACCTGCAACACTTGGCGAAGTGTCCTTGCTTGTTGCAAGCGTTGCATGAGGCCTTGTTGGCAGGACATCGAGGTGTGCGGGGCCAATGGCCTTGAAACCCACAGTTTCGACATGTACTATCAGCCGCAGGGCACTTTCCTGGACCATGCTGGCGCTGACAGTTTCTGCAGGATTCGGGAGAAGAAACTGGTGACTGTGACGGGGGCTGTGGAGAGGACGCCGTCTGCATCTGGCGTTGATTCCTCTTGTAGGTGGAGACGGCGTGGACTTGAGATGGCGATGAGTGTATAGCTGAGGCAGCCTCTCTTGTGGCCTCATACGACCTGCAACAGGTGACGAAGTCGGTGAGGGAAGAGGCGGCGTCGAGGGTGAGGAGTTTCTGAAGCAGGTCCTCGTCACGTACACCCATCAGCAAGATCATCTTGAGCTGGATCTCAGCACAGGTTACAGGATCGCCTGTACATAGGTCCACCTCGGTTGCTAGGTCCTTAAGTCGTGCATAGAAGTCTGAGAATGATTCCCCAGAAGCTTGTTTGCAGGATAGCAGTTCCCTACGACGCAAAGCTTCATTGCGGAGGCCACGGAAATGACTCTGCAAGGCGTTTAAAACCTCTGTCACTGACCTGGGGGAGTCAGGGGGGATGGCTAGCGTGTGCTCTAGGAGGCGTTGAACATCGAGGGAAATGCACGATCTTAATTGGATGAGTTGTTTATGAGGGGGCATTCGATTGAGGTCAGACATAACAGCAAAGTCTTCGAAACGACGTCGCCATTGACGGTATACTTGATATGTTGCATCAGATTGAAGAGGTGGGGGACTGGGAACTGAAGACTTGCTGTGCAGGGGTGTACTCGAGACGGCAGGCGGTGGAGGAGGCACGGAGAGGTCGACGAGAGTTGAGACTGGAACGGGTGGTTGAGAAGACACTGAGGCATACCTAGGGGAGATAGGTGACGTGTGAGGAGGCGTTGTCTGAAGGATAGATGAAGAGGCTGAAGCTGGCGAGTTGGTTGTGGCAGCTGGTGAAGTCGTCCTCGTTGCCAGCAATTCCAATAGGTCCAGGAATTTGCGGTTATCAGCTTGGTGTTGTTGTTGAAGTTGAAGGCGGTAAGCTGATTCCTCTGACTGTCTTGACAATTCCTCTTGACGTCGTTTTTCCTCCTCTAATTGACGTCTTTGGGCTTCCTTCTCTTGAGAAACTTGTAGGAAGTGGATTAACTGACGTATATCCTGGCTCCCATCCTTTGAATTTGGCGCGCCCGGCGTGTGAGGCGTGAGGGGGGGTGGGAGGGTCTGTGAGGCGTCGTCTTCCTCATAATCCTCATATAAATTTCCCAGCAAATCGTCGTGGTCAGACATCTCGTGCTTGGTATTGTTGCGATGGGAAAGACAAGGAGAATAAGGTGAAGTGCTATATTTTCGCCAATGGATTTGCTTAAGTGCAGGAACTGGCTGGCAAGTAAAAGAGTACTGACTGTAATATTTGTGAAGTGAGAGGAGGCGGCTGGCGGCGGTGTATTCCTCCGCGCGCCCGGGCGAGATGCTGGTGATGACTCAGTGGAGGGGACGCGGGCAGTGGCTTGCGAGCCTCCGTGGATGGGGGGTGTATGCCGGAAGTGCTGTCTTGGAAACTGGGCTGGAGGCGTGTCTGCTACCTGTAGGGCCGCAGAAACATAGCAAAGAGACATGAAAGGCACTGCACTTCACTTAGGGCACTTCACAAGGTCACAAAGCACTTTAAATCCAGGGGCACTGTGGAGTATATCTTCTGGGCGGGAAACAGACGAGGCCGGAAACAGACGGGGCCGGCTCTTGAGGCTTGTAAACTGTCGTGTTGGAGCTACTCAAACTGCGCCATGTGGTGTGGTGGATGTAATCCTAGACAAGGTTCTTGAAACTCCAGGGCACGAGCAGTAGATATATTCAACAAGTGGTACAAGGCTGGGCGTGATAGCCAACCGATACAGGAGCGGTTACTAGGGACCCCGGACCGTAGGTAGGCCGAGGCCGATCTGAGGGAAATTAGCTAGCCAGGCAAGGGGAGTTGCTAGACATTCCTAGGACAATAAATGAGGTCTTCTAATTACTCGACTAGCGCGGTACAGACATAGTACATCGGGACATAGTAAATGAACATAGGCATTAGACATAAGCATGGACATCAGACATGCTATAATAATATGTAGTAATACAGACATGTGAATAAATGGTACAATGAATGGTAACAAGAGTCCTGGTGTCAGGCGTGTTCACATATCTTGGTATGTACATATCTATACAGGGAGAAGGAGAGGAGATGGTGAGGAGGAGAAAGAGGTGTAGAGGAGGAGGAAGAGGTGGTGCAGAGGAGGACGTAAGAAGAAGAAGAAGGTGCTGGTCGTGGTGAGATTCAGACTCGTGAACCCGAAGCCTTTATGGACAGAATAATGCATCAGCATCTACTGCTTCGGGTTCACGAGTTGGTGGTTCAGGAGGAGAGGCGACAGGACTCTGGTGAGTTTACACATGCTGAGCCAATGTGAACGTGTATGCCAGCTTTATTGAACTTCTATCTATCTATCTATCTATTCTTTATAAAACTCTCAGAATTTATTCTCAAAAACTAAAAAAAAATAATAATAATAATTAGATTCAAAACCTCTACGAAATAAAACGAGAGAGAGAGAGGGAGAGAGAGAGAGAGAGAGAGCTCACTTCAGCAGTATGGCGGCGTCAGAGAGGTAGGCTCCCACTAGCAAGTCAGGATACTCATTGTTGTCCATATCCAGACCCCCAGAGAGTGACCAGCCGAAGGTAGAGATGGGAGCCCCTGTAGCCACGTCACTCGCGTAGATAATCTGGGGAGAGTAAGAGCCATCAGTTGTTGCTATTTGTGTTGCAATATAATACAACAGTTCAACTTAGGAAGTTTGTACACAAAAACCTTTATTTCCACAATATAGCGATGAAATAAATAGATTTAATTGCATTTCTGTTTTAAGGAAAGTGTTTGACCTGCGTCGGCTTCTTTAAGTCTTCAGGTATCAGTTCACCGCCACGGATGACAAAGCCGTGATAGATAAACACAGCGCCATTCCCGTCCTCCCCACCATAAGGAGCTCCGACGGCCAAGTCTGCCATAGAAAATGGATATTAGAGACGTTCATAGAAAATGGTTGTTTACGGGAGCAATATCATGGGTAGCTAGTGAAGAATTGGTGGTATATATATGTATATATATATACAGTATATATATATATATATATATATATATATATATATATATATATATATATATATATATATATATATATATAATATATATATATATATATCAATACCCAGGCCAGTGAGGGAGAGACCAAACCGACCTCTGTTGACCTGACCCGTGAAGGTGACCACCTGTCTGAAGCGATGCTGGGGAGAGAGAGAAAATGAATTAGTGAGCGAGAGAGAGAGATAATGAGAAAGTAAAAGAGTGAACGAGTTACAATATGCTTGAATCGATACTGAGAGAGAGAGAGAGAGAGAGAGAGAGAGAGAGAGAGAGAGAGAGAGAGAGTATTATAAATAAATAATACAAACACAATCTACCTTATGGATCACTTGAAGATTAGCCACCCCAGTTTATGTCACCTGATGATTAAACACCGTTAGGTTAGGTTGGAGTTGAGTTAAGGTTAGTTCAGGCTTGGTTAGGTTAGGATAGGTTGAGTTAGGTTGGTTCAGGCTTGGTTGGGTTAGGTTGGATGGAGTTGAGTTAAGGATTGGGATAGGTTGAGGTTAGGTTAGTTCAGGCTTGGTTGGGTTAGGTTGGGATAGGGTTGAGTTAGGTTAGGATAAGGTTGAGTTAGGTTGGGTTGGGATGAGTTGGGTTAAGTTGGGATAGGTTGGAGTTAGGTTAGTTCGGGCTTGGTTGGGTTGAGTTGGGATAAGGTTGGGTTAGGATAGGTTGAGTTAGGTTGGGATAAGGTTGGAGTTAAGGTTAGGATAGGTTGAGTTAGGTTGGGATAGGTTGGCAGGAGTTAGGTTAGGATAGGTTGAGTTAGGTTAGGATGGGTTGAGGTTGGGTTAGTTCAGGCTTGGTTGGGTTGGGATGGGTTGGGTTAAGGTTAGTTCAGGTTAGGATGGGTTGGAGTTAGGTTAGTTCAGGCTTGGTTGGAGTTGGGTTAGGTTAGGTTGAGTTAGGTTAGTTCAGGCTTGGTTAGGTTAGGTTAGGATAGGTTGAGTTAGGTTAGGTTAGTTCAGGTTTGGTTAGGTTGAGTTAGGTTAGTTCAGGCTTGGTTAGGTTAAGTTATGTTCTCTTAGTTTAGGTTAGGTTAGGGTGGTTAATCTTTCGGTTGAATGATCTAGGGGAGCTAATCTTCAAGTGATCCACCTCACTCACCTGATCCTTCAGTAGATGATGGCAGATAATGACAAGAAGTGTCCAGGGAACTGTATCCACAACTGTACACTATTACAGGTACAGTTACCCCCCAAAAGACATCTATACAAAATTACGTTCAAACAAAATCAAACAACGGACGAAGGATTATGACATCCCTCCCGAGACAACAGGAGTCACAGTGTTCATTATGACATCCCTCCCGAGACAACAGGAGTCACAGTGTTCATTATGACATCCCTCCCGAGACAACAGGAGTCACAGTGTTCATTATGACATCCCTCCCGAGACAACAGGAGTCACAGTGTTCATTATGACATCCCTCCCGGACAACAAGTCACAATTTCATTATGACATCCCTCCCGAGACAACAGGAGTCACAGTGTTCATTATGACATCCCTCCTGAGACAACAGGAGTCACAGTGTTCATTATGACATCCCTCCCGAGACAACAGGAGTCACAGTGTTCATTATGACATCCCTCCGAGACAACAGGAGTCACAGTGTTCATTATGACATCCTCCCAGACAACAGGAGTCACAGTGTTCATTATGACATCCCTCCCGAGACAACAGGAGTCACAGTGTTCATTATGACATCCCTCCCGAGACAACAGGAGTCACAGTGTTCATTATGACATCCCTCCCGAGACAACAGGAGTCACAGTGTTCATTATGACATCCCTCCCGAGACAACAGGAGTCACAGTGTTCATTATGAAATTCATCGATCACCCCAGGTAGAGATAGTCTTTTTGAGTGACTGTATGTTACTATAGGAAGGTGATAATTGGAGCAGCAACAGACACCATCGATAGCCAGGTATGACAGGTGTTTGTCTCTCAGCAACATCCAGAGCCAACAGTACACATCTGACAGCAACAGCCAGAGCCAACGGTACACATCTGACAGCAACATCCAGAACCAACAGTACACATCTGACAGCAACAGCCAGAGCCAACGGTACACATCTGACAGCAACATCCAGAACCAACAGTACACATCTGACAGCAACAGCCAGAGCCAACAGTACACATCTGACAGCAACAGCCAGACCCAACAGTACACACCTGACAGCAACAGCCAGAGCCAACGGTACACATCTGACGGCAACAGCCAGAGCCAACGGTACACATCTGACAGCAACAGCCAGAACCAACAGTACACACCTGACAACAACAGTCCAGAACCAACAGTACACATCCCCAAAGCAGCAACAGCCAGAACCAACAGTACACACCTGACGCAGCAACCAGAGCCAACAGTGATTACACACCTGACAGCAACAGCCAGAACCAACAATACCACCTGACAGCAACAGCCAGAGCCAACAGTACACATCTGACGGCAATAGCCAGAGCCAACAGTACACGCCTGACGGCAACAGCCAGAACCAACAGTACATCTGACAGCAACAGCCAAGACCAACAGTACACATCCTGACAGCAACAGCCAGAACCAACAGTACACCTGACAGCAACAGCCAGAACCAACAGTACACATCACAGCAGCAACAGCCAGAACCAACAGTACACACCTGACAGCAACAGCCAGAACCAACAGTACACATCTGACAGCAACAGCCAGAACCAACAGTACACATCTGACAGCAACAGCCAGAACCAACAGTACACATCTGGCAACAACATCCAGAACCAACAGTACACATCTGACAACAACAGCCAGAACAACAGTACACATCTGGCAACAACATCCAGAGCCAGCCAGTACATCACAACCCAGCAACAACAACGAACCAACAGTACACATCGGCAGCAACAGCCAGAATAACAGTACACATCCTGACAGCAACATCCAGAGCCAACAGTACACATCTGACAGCAACAGCCAGAGCCAACAGTACACATCTGAGAGCAACAGCCAGAACCAACAGTACACATCTGACAGCAACAGCCAGAACCAACAGTACACATCTGAGAGCAACAGCCAGAACCAACAGTACACATCTGACAGCAACAGCCAGAACCAACAGTACACACCTGACAGCAACAGCCAGAACCAACAGTACACATCTGACAGCAACAGCCAGAGCCAACGGTACACATCTGACAGCAACATCCAGAACCAACAGTACACATCTGACAGCAACAGCCAGAACCAACAGTACACATCTGACAGCAACAGCAACGAACAAACAGGAGTAATGGTAAAAAAAAAATACGAGACCCAATTCATACTCCAACAGGTGAATGAACTGAGTCACTGTATAGGATGGAAGACTGTAGTTGTTATGGTTATGGGTATACAGTATACCACCACCACCACCACCACCACCACCACCACAACAACAACAACAACAACAACAACAACAACAACAACAACAACAACAACAGCAACAACAACAACAACAACAACAAGAAGCACGTACAACCTCCCCTCCCCCCTAAAAAAAAGTCAACAATAACAAATCCAATTCCTCCAGCAAGACCCACCAGGAGGAAGAGGGGAAGGAGGAGGGGGAGGAGGGGGAGGGAGAGGGGAAGGAGGAGGAGGAAGAGGGGGATCACCGTCGGCAACAGGTAGTCAGCACACACTATTGTTACACCTGGAAAGCTTTTAAACCCCTCAACCTGCTGGTCATTACAGTTCACATTTACCTGTCGAGAAGCTTAATGATAATATCTTCATCCTCAACACCCCCCTCCTCCTCCTCCTACACTCTAACCCTCCTCCTCCTACCCCCACCCTCCTCCTCCTACACTCCCACAACCCCTCCTCCTCCTACCCCACACCCCTTCCTACCTCTACCCTCCCTCCCTACCCCTACCACCCTCCCCTCTTCCTCCTACCCCCACCCCCCTCCCTACTAACCTCCCTCCTACCTCACTAAACACCCTCCCTACCCCTAGCCCCCCTCCCTCCCTACATCGCTATAAAACCCTTAAATTTGACAGGCGTGACCACATCCTCGAGGGCAAGTCTGTTTGAGTAGGACCTATTGACTGCCATCCACGACAACACCACCTGCTTCTGTTGTCGTCTTGTAATGATTAGGAGGTCCTGGAGTAGTTATGTGATGATGATGATGGTCTTATTGTCTGTTTGAGGGTGTTGACAGATAGTTGAAGAGAGAGAGTCCAATATACACAACCACACAGCTGTAGAAGCAATGTGCAAGTGGTTACACAGATTAAATTATCAAAGAAAACGTCACCTAATTAAAAATAATGTAGTCACAACAGAAAACGGGCCATTATGAAGTTAAACTAATAAAAAAATAAAATTACACGATATAAAAAAAAAAGTAAGTTAATACACAAAATGGACAAGGAAGTTACAGATGAAAATAAACCACATTAATAAAATATAATAGTATAGCAAGAGAAAGAAAATGGAGAAACATGAAAGAAAACGGTGTCCTAGAGAGCTTGAGGAGGAGGGAGGGGTCACTATGTCATAATTAGCGGCGGTGTAGGCAAGAATTGATAACCTAACAACACCCTCTCACCTTAGACACATCATCATAGAGCAACACCATTACCAATTACACCATGGATGCGGTTAGGCTATGTCACCGCCACGCATCACTATCACCACCACACAACACCACCACCACGCATCACTATCACCACCACACAACGCCACCACCACGACACATTACCACCACCACGACACATTACCACCACCACGCATCACTACCAACACCACACACCACCACCACCACGCATCACTATCACCACACACACCACTACCACGACACATTACCACCACCACGCATCACTACCAACACCACACACCACCAGCACCACACATCACTACTACCACACACCATCACCACCATACAACCATAACCACCACACACCATTACCACAAGGGCATATATTTTAGAAAGTACAGTTACTCTGGCTAGGGGGGAAGGGGGGAGACGAATGATGGAAGACAAGGAGGAAGAGGAGAAAGGGGAAGAGAATAAGGAGGAGGAGGATGGAAGCGTGAGAGAAGGAGGAATGGGGGAGACTTGGTGAAGAGGTAAAGAGAAATGATGTTACGACCAAAACAACAGCACAGGT